AACCTTTCGAGACTGCAGTGAATGTTGCCACCACATCGAAGAATGATCCAAAGATAATCTTTAAGATGCAAAGGAGGTTCCTTCACCAATTGGATGATGCATATAATTGGGAAATGAAGCAGTGGCTCAGTATCTCATAGTTGAAGACACTGTCAAACGTTGCTTCGTTTCCCACAGAAGGTGTCAAACTGTTGCGTGCAAGAAAATTCACTGTAGTAGAGTAATAAATTATTGTCTTGATATTGCACAAAGATTCAACACACGCTCAGATAGAAAAAAAACAACCAGTAGAGACACTATAAGTTTTACATGGAAAGCCCAGGAAGAAAAAAACTACGGGGTCTGACCCAGATATAAAAATCCACTATAAGTTAATGATTACAGGGAACCCTTGTCCCTTTGGAGAGAAAGAGTTACAAAGTCTCCAAAGTTATAACGTCGACGTGCATATGAACTTGTTGCAAAGAGTAGGTGAATACCAATAACAATCATCAATGGTTGATAGGTGATGGCCAATGATAATGCAGTCGGCGGCGCCCGGTGATGGTCGACGACAGTTGGCGGTGGTCGACGACGATTTGAGTGATGCAAGACTTTAGCTCTTTCTCAAGCCAAAACTCTCTCTCAAGCCTTAAGCTCTCTCCTCTTTCATGAGAAGGGTGGGACACTATTAATAGAGTTCCCGATGCAATTAATGCAGGAGTATGAAACAGTTTGATCGGATGACCCAGAGCAGTCTTTTGATGGACATTTGAGTGTGTTAACGATGTCAGAAGCGATCTTAGACTCGTTGGATTTTTTTTTATTGAGACACTCGGTTTGACTATAGGCTCGCCAGATTCGATATTTGTTTGACCTTCTAAATATGCTTGGAAAGCCTCCAAGAGTGGTTTAATGACTCGATCTAAGCTTGATTTGACTCGGATTGGACTAATTTTGATATCATTGGGTTCGTCTCATTTAGCCGGTCAGTTTGACTGTAAGCTTGTTGAAATTAGAGCTCTAGATGACTCTTAATCAAAGTTTGACAATTTCTTACTCAAAATGTTACATTAAGATCCGTGTGATGCCTTAATATTCGTTTCGTATGATGGAAATTTGTTAATCTGTGCTATGCCCTCCGCTCCTTGCAATAAGTTCATCCTCACGTCGACATTGTCACTTGGGAAACTTTGTAACTCTTTCTCATCTATGGGACAATTATGTTCTATAATTATCAACCAATGGTGGATTTTTATAGCTATGTCATACCCCGTGATTTTTTCATTTTCTAGGATTTTCCACGTAAAAATTTCTGGTGTCCCTAATGCAAAGACGATAATATTTTACTTCACTGTTGCGAATTTTCTAGCACGCACCAATTCTTATTAATTTCTCCGAATAAAACTTATTCAAAAATTAGTTTTTCTTCTCCCCATCAAACTAAAACAAAAGGATTTTATTTTATGTTATTTGGTCAACGTTCATACGTTTTTTTCTTTTAAAAATAGTATAATAATAATAAATTTTTATCAATAATATTTTTTTATTAGGTGACACCTAATTTAATGATTAAATAAATTTATTAAATAATCATTTATATCTTATATTTAATTGGTGTAGGATTGATAATCAAACCGTCAAATTCATAGGAGAATCACATTTATTGTCTCGAGATAAGTAACTGTTCTTTATTATGGGATAAACATATGCTTTTTAGTTAGTCACGTTATTCTTGCTAATTGTTTTAAATTCCCAACTAATCTTAGGTTTTTTATTCGTAACCCTTTAAATTCGGTTCATTTAACTACAATAGTTTCTATTTTTGCTCATAATTATTTTAATATGTAATTAACCTTATTTATTGCTACTTAGTCTTGTATTTAATTGTTCACATTTCAAGATTTTAATATCTATTATTTCTTTTATTGTTTGATTGGCAAATCTTACTATTTAATTATTGTTTATAATATTGTTAGACATATTGTAATTATCCTCTCGTGTTTTAATTGTGATGAATTAAATATAGCCAATATTACAATATTATTATGTCGGTTTTAAATCATTTTATTATGAATAGCCCGACCGACAGGTCCTTCTAAAGAAATTAGTGGATTTCCATGAGATTGGCGTAAATATTTCCTTATTTTTGTGTGCCGTAGTAAATCAATTTCTATGTAAATATGTGTATATATGTAATATAATTATATTTAAAGATGTGTAAATACTTAAATATTAGATGGGTGCATGATGAAATGTAATTATATGTAAAGATGTGTATATACTAAAATGTTAAATGATTTATGAGTCATTTCTATGCAAAGATATCTGATATTGCAACATGTAAATATCTACTTAAATGTGTATGTGGTCAACCCACTCATATTCAAGAGCATAAACATTGCAAATTCTTTTATACACATAGTAAATTTTCACTATTTATTGGTCATATAACCTGCCCCATTTTCATTATCTTTTATGCCTTAATAAATAGTAGTCATTTATTGACTTTGATATCAAACTCACATTTTGATATTTTTATATAGCAGATTTCACTAAACCACTTACTGAGCCATCTCAACTGTAACATTTTAACCACCTAAAATTTAAATGTAACATTTTAACCATCTAAAACTTTAAGTATAACAATTTTAACCACCTAAAATTTTCACTAAAAGCTTTCATTAGTGAAAAATGGAGAGCGGTTATAATGGAAAAAGTAGTTAAAATGTTATATTTAAAGTTTGGGCGGTTAAAATGAAATATTCAATATTTTGGGTGATTGCTATGTAAAAATTTCAAATTTGAATTCTCCTTAATTATTTCTATTATTATTTGTTTTTTTTTTCTAAAAATACAAAACAAGTTCAATTTTTTTCATCATGTTCTGTGTTGCTGAGTGTACCGCCTTCCGAACCCGGACTGCGGCGCTAAGTTTATTATTTATATTTATTTTTAGTATTTTTGTTTAACTTATGCTTCCATATAAAATAAAACTATATTTGGTAAGGGGTTTTATGAGGTAATATATATATATATATACATTCGTATTACATATTACCTCATGTTTCTCGATCTTATTCTAGCAAATCAATAGAGATATCATACCATCCTCCTCATATAAATGATGGTAAATATTATTTCTAATATTGTTATTAAAGTTAGCTTATGGTCAATGAATTGCTTGCGTTTTAAGAGAAATAATGGCATACTATGGTTATTACGATTTGCAAATATGAAGTTTAAGCCGGTCGGTTCTGCAAATTTTAAGCAAAAGTTTTTTTTTATGAATTTTTAAAATTTATTTTATGAATTTACCACTATAAAATAATATTAATATAAAGTATGAATTTCATATTAAGAGAACTTTGAATTTTAAAAATGAATAAGTTTATATAATTATGAATTAAATTTAGTAGGTTTTTGCCTTTCCCTCGTTTACTTGAGCTTAACCGACAACCATTTTCTAGGGTTAAGTAAATTCATAACAAAGGTTGATTGCTTAATCTACTAATGGACGGTTTTAACTAGTCAATCACATTCTAATCAACCCAAAGCGACGTTTTAACTAGATAATTAATGGTGGCACCTAATTTTCTTCTTAAATGATATATATATATACACTGGAGAGATCTTGTGAGACGGAGGAGGAGGAATCGGAGAGGGATAGAGTCCAAACTCGTGTCTTACAATCATATGGCCTTACATTTCACCCTTTTTCCTCTCTCTGCTCCCTAAGGGAGCAAGGCCTGTTTGAGATTTGCCGTCAAAGGGATATCATCATGGGTGTGAGTTGACTCATAATTGGGGAGGGACAGTGATAAGTTTTGATGAACTACCTCCCGTATGATATATAAGCAGCTTTATATGGGGATAGATGGATCAATAAGCAAACTCGACATGTGCAGGCATGCTCAACAGGGGAACTCACGTGATCATTTCAATGGGTAATCTTTGTTGTCATCACATTTCGGACGTGGTCGATGAATACAGTTAATCGGCTATATGGGCTGTCAGCACATGAAGATATTGAAATTCTAGAAAAAAGTCATCTCAGTAGGCCCAGAAGGCTCATTTGCACCATGAAGAAAATTTAGGGTTTTAGAAACACCAAACCATCCGATGTCAAGATGGTTTTCAGTACTGGTAACCCAGTGCAGAAGCGACCCCATAGGCTTGTACTTTCGCGTCTCTCTCAAATTGCAGTCTTTACCCATCTATTTCCTATTCATAGACTAGAGTGTAGGGGTGTAAACGAGCCGAACACGAGAGAGCCTAGGCCCAGCTCATGTTGGACTCGTTTATATTTCGAGCTCAAAAAGTGTGTTCGTGTTCAGTTCGTTTGTTTAGCTAGCGGAACACGAGTCGTTCACGAACAAAGAGTCATTTTGACAACCCTAATCATGTAGCCATAAAATGTTAAAAATTGTGTCAAAATTTAAAACATCATTTGAATCTAATATAATAATTTTTATTCTATTTTCTCATTTAATACTTTTAATTGATTATAAATCTTTGTTGGCTTGTAGTCAATTAAATTTTTTAAAAATACTACTCATCAACTATATATAAGTGAATTTACGCCGTGTGCTCAGATCAGTTGGTTGGGATATACTTGTCAGTTGTAAGTCTCTTCTGGTCTGGAATTTGATTCCTCCTGAGTGTAGGGTGTGTTACTCGAATTCTTATGCGCATGAGGGATGATCGGGGATCGTATAATTGCATCCGATTATTCCTTTTTGAATATATATATATATATATATATGAAGGTGAATTTCTAACATAACTTCTAATTTCCTGACATTTTATTTAACTTTCTTTATCAAAAGAAAAAAATTGCGATTATTTTCATTCCCCCACTTCATTACTCCAACAACCTCCCTTTAAAAAAGAAAAAGAAGTAAAAGCAGCTAAAAGAACATATTCCCTTCCATTATCTAATTCCCCTCCGCCTTCGCCAGCCAAAAAATAAAATAAATAAATAAAAGAAATGATGAAATAAAGAGGCATCCACCAAACCATATATTCAATCATACCATTCCCAATTATAAAAAACTCATATATCACTGCTACAAATTAAACACCCATAAGACAGTCAATCTACCTCAAAAAATATGAAAAATCGGAAGATAACATCTGAGCCGTCTAATCTCTACAACCACAGACTTCACCAATCTCAAAGCCGACCACCGGCCGCCATGAACCACATACCGAAGAAGCCAACCACCGTCGCCGGAATTTGTGTTTTGGTGGCTGCAGAAAAGTGGTAGCCGGTTTCAGTGGAGGGTGTGGAAGGGGTAGTGGTGGTTCCGGATGAAGAAGAGGGGCCCACGGTGACCGGTGACGGCGAGCTTCATGCCGCCGATGCAATGACCGGGAACTCCGCAGACAAAGTAATGGGTTCCGGAGGTTCTGAGAGTGATGGTGGTGGAGCCGCTCGAGTCTGTGCTCAGATAGTTGCTCGTGGAGCACGATTGGTAGTCATTTGCCGACACTTCGTTCACTGTGTGCGTTCCAGCCCCGTAAGCAAACGCTGCAGCCAAGAAAGATGATTATTACTTCAATTAGGGGTTGTTTGGCAAAATCTTAAATGATTTAATATATTCCGTAAATTCAGATTTACTAAATACTTAATGTTTTAAATCTGTTTGGTAACGGCTTTGCTAAAATCTCTAAATCCTTGAAAAGTGCTTTTTTTTTTCCTTAAAATCATAACTATTTAACAATTAAAACAAACCAAATAACTCTTCCTCTAATTCTCATAATTTATCAAATCCATGGCTTCATTTTGTCCAAAATGACAGTCTGGCAAGATTTAGCCTGCATTCAGGTTAAATCTAGCTCTAAATCCGTTGCCAAACATCGTTTTGTTTCATAGTTTCCACAAATGGATTCGCACAATTTTAGTAGAGCTAAGACAAATCTGAAGAACTTCAATTACCTCGAATTAATCTTAAGTAATGAGTTAGACTTGAAAAAACTTACCTAGGCTATCTCCAACAGCAAAGGTTTTTCCACTGGTCCAACTTGAATAATCCACGCCAGTATTCCAACCCGAAGTATCGCCAACACTGTACACCGTGGCTGAGCCCATGTTAGCCCAACTTATGAGAAAAATTGTACCCATTGTTGCATAAATGAGCCTCGCCATTTTTTGATTTTAGAAAGAGATAGAAAGAATTGCTAGGTTTTTGTGAGAAGAGAAACAAGAGTTAATCTCTATATAAAGGAGAAGGAAGGGAAGAGTTGTTGGAGGAAAAAGGACTGTTCATTATTCTCCCCTACACTTTACCATTTATCAAAATAAAATTAAATGAATAATGAGAATGACTTGAGAATTACTCCATGCCTACCAACTGATGCGTAGCCATATTGAGCTTTTAATTTCTTTTTTTTATATATCTTATTTTGCCTTTGGGTTTCATAATATGGACTCTGATGAAGACAAGTGGTAAGATTTTTCTAAGTATTGTATTTCCTTAAAGATTGGAGAAGGAAAGGTAGGTGTATGATTGACTTTCCTACCAAATACTAATTTGTTTTGGTTGTCATTAGCTACAATGGTATTGTGTTTAGGTTTATTAAGATGGAAACTTTGTTGGGCTAATAGAAGCAGGGGTGTAAACGAGCCGGATATGAGCGAGCCTAAAGCTTATTTGTGTTCAACCTGTTTTAAATTTTTTTGTTCATTCTATTTGTATTCGGCTCAATTCAAACTCATTTGTTCTAATTAGGCTTTTGTTCAGCTCAAAATAATAATTTATTAAAATTTAATTAAAAAATAATATAATTAAATCATGAAAATTTTCTTTTTAATTATATTTATACTCTTTTAATAAGGAATAAAACCAAAGTTTAGTTTGCTCGCCCACGTCTTACATGGCTTAAATCATTCGTGACATTGTCTATGGAATAAAATGGAACTTTTCTCTTAATTTTTTAAAGAACATCACTGAAATTTTTATTCTATTGTAGACGGTGTGGGACTATATGTTACATGTATACCACGTAATTTTTATATATTAACATATCCGATATCCTTAATTTAATGAGGGCCTATGGCTCGGGGAACGGGAGAATACAAATTAATGTCACAAGAACTAAGGAAATTAACTTGTTAGGGACATTTACATGCATACCACCCAATTCTTGTGTATTTACATATGCAACAAATATACACACACACACACACACACACACACACACGGAAAATACTTGGACAATCCTCCTATACGAACACAAATAACAGCTATATATATATATATATATATTATTTGAAGGCCTGGCTAAAATTATTGAAAAATTAATAAAATGTTATGTTTTTTTAATATAATATTAAAGTTTAACCTAAAAATATTATACAAATATTATTTGTTTATTAGTTAATCAATTAGAGTAAAATCTAGGCGGATACAAACAAATAAAATTTGTTTATATTAGTTCGTTTATAAATCAAGCTAGAAAAGCTTATTCGTGTTAAACTCACTTGTTTAATGCACGAATCGAACAAGAGCTATGTAGCGAGCAGAGTATGAGTTGTTCTCAAATAAAGAGCTTTTTTTAATAGCCTTGAATACAAGTGAATTTGAAATAATGATTAAATATTTTTTAATAATGTAAATTGATATGGAAATAATATTAAATATAATGGTTGTAAATTAGAATATGTGTATACTAGAAATATTGACATTATGTAACCTAATTTGAGGATAGCTAACTAAATGATCTTTTCTATATTATGAAACCTAATTAGCAGAATTTAATTACTTAAATGGTCTTTCTTATAAAATTATGTTTTCTATATTTTAATTATCCTTATTGGTAGACCTTAATCTACGGTCTTTCTTAAAAAATTATGTTTTCTATATTTTAATTATTCTTATTGGTAGACCTTAATCTACTATTATTTATATGAGGGATTATGAAGGATTTAGGGATTCGGTCTATTTTTTCTTTCTCCCCACCTTTTGATGGTGGAAAAATCTCTTCCCGTTGGCGTTGGCTGATTTGCATCGAACCATATAAACCGCACTATTTGTAATTGTTTATTTGTTGTGTAATTTTTTATATGCATTGTTTTACACAGCATAGCCAGTGCTTAAAATAAAAATAATATTGGGTTATGTGGATTTGAAACACAAATATATAACAGAGTACTTGATCAATATGAGCTGGGTTGTGTGTGCCTATGTGCTCATTGGAGTGTTCGATTATTAGAGGGACTGACGCATATGCGCCAGCCTATGGGCACATATGTGCCCACTTATACCCAGGCATTGTTTTCATACAGAGAGGCTGGCACTTATATCTTATGCGCTCAATATTAGGCTCCCTACTTCTTTTCTCTAGAGATCATTAAGTTTAGGAGCCAAGTTTGGACACCTATGCGTTCGAAGCAGTTTGTACGAATTAATTTGTTCTTAAGCCAATTTTGGGCAAGGTAAGTGTATGAAGTGGGTTTTCCTTCTAAAATTCTTCGACAAACATCCTAGTGAAAGTGAGAAATGTCAAAGTGGATTTGAGGAAGATTCTTGCGTCGGATTGGAGAAGGAAGTTTGTAGAGCGTGTCTTGTAAGTTTCCTTATGTGTAGAGAAGAAATTGGTGTGTTTTTTTTAAAAACTCTCTGAATTTCTGTCGGTGTGCTCCATGATTTTTTTCTCATTCTTGGGGTTTTCCATATAAAATTCTTGTTTTTTTGTTGCTTTAATTGTGCTTCTGTTCATAATTTTGTTATGATTTTCTCGGATCTTGTACTACCTTTTTATTATGTGGTGTGGTTTAGTTTTTAATTGATTCTAAACTTGGTAAAGTTGGGAATTGTTCTTGGAATTTCGTATGAAACTGGTATCAGAGCAGGATTCAATTCGAGTGGGGGCAATAGACGAGGAGGCAAGGTTCAAAGTGGAAAAGTTCAATGTAACAAACTTCATTTTTTGGAAGACGCAACTGGAAGATTTAATATGTCAGAAAAAGTTATGGTTGCAACTGCAATGAATCACAAGGAAGCCTAAGTTGCCTATAGAGGAATAGGAAGTGTTTGATTGAACGACATTAGGTTAGATCTGATTGTCACCTTCCTCATCTATTGTGTTCAACTTTATGAATGAGAAAACTATGTTGGATCTGATGGTAACACTGGCCAAGATATACAAAAATCTTCTGCTTCCAATAAGATTTTTCTGATGGAAAAGTTATTCAACATATAGATAGTAGAAGGTAATTCAGTGGCAGATCATCTCAACAACTACAACATTGTGACGAGCAAATTGTGTTATTTGGGGATCAAGTTTGATGTTGAGTTCAGAGCATGGGTGATACCAACTTCTTAAAAAAAAAAAATTGGGATTATTTGGTTACGACGTGAGTAATTCTTCAGAGGCTTCTAAATTAAACTAAGATGACATCTGGGTCTGATGTCGAATGAAGAAGTTCGTAGAAAAAGCAGTGAATGATGAATCTTCAGGTTCTGCATTGAATTATGATAATAGTGGAAGAAATCTGGGCAAAATATAAGATCAAATGACCGGGTGAACGTATCAGAGGATTTTCTCGCAAGGCGACAATGAACTATATTCATGCTGATCATTAGATAGTTCACCCTTGGAGCAAGTATTTTACATAATCAAGGCAAGACGAGCGGTCGACGAACTTCTTACTGACCGAAGCAATCTGGCAGCCTTATTATCTTCAAATATCTCTGTATTACTAAAAGACCCCTTTGAAAAGCTAATGATAAGGAGATTGATCTGTAATTTTGTAAGACTATGTCTCATTCCTATAAATAGGAGGTTCATATAATGAATAAAGATTACGCATTCTTTCTGTTCAACACTGCACTCTCTCTTAGTTTCCCCTGTAAAACGTTCTATAACTTGGGTGTATTTCCCAGACCAACCTAGATTAAATAATTTTATACAAACGATCACAACGGTAAAAAATCCAAACTATTTTCCTTGCATCAGGTTTTAAATCACTGCAATCGTTAACACTGCAAAACAGTGATTTTAGTAACTTTTTTTTTATATTTTTAATCTCAATTTTTAATTAAAAGAATATTAATTACCTTTTTTTTCCTTACAGTAGGGCAATTAGTATATTTTGACAAATATATTGCTACGATAAAATAACTGTTTTTGTCACCATTTTCTTAAGACACTCGCTGAATATGAATCTAATATAAATAAGTCAAAATTAGGGAGGGCTTCGAATTTATATATGCAAAAATTGAAGTTTAAGTGTCAAATTTTTTCTGTGTGGACTTCTGACGTAACTCTACGTGTGGCGAAGCTTATTTCTGAGTTATTTTTAATTAAAATAATCCATAAATAACCTAAATATGAAGACCACGGGTTATTTCTAGATTTTTTCAGGATTATTGAAAATAACCCAGAAATAATCTGAAAATAACTCAGGAATAACCTCCGTCACACATAGAGTTGAGACCAGACAAAAAATACGTTTCAGATATAAATATATAAGAATTGAGTGGAATGCATGTAAATCATACAAGAATACTTTGAAGAGGGATATTTACAAAATAATTATGAATTATTAAACTATATAAACATATCATGAAGTATACGTACGCACAACGATATTGGGACAAATATCTTCTTCAAAACGGCTGAAAGGTACATACATGCCATTATAATTACAGGTGATTTTGGTGCTGGGCGATGTGGGACTTTTCTTGCAGTTGAAGCACTCCCTTTTTTTGCTGTGGGGCGAGGAATGGGATAATAACCAGCACTTAACTCGGTGCGCGCTTATCTGCTTTTTATTCTGTCTGCTTCGACTTTCCTGTTTTCAGTTTATTTATTTATTTATTTATTTTTTGGCCATTGATTTTTAAATGATTAGGCCTATTTAGGTTCATTTTATTTTATTTTTTTTATTTTATTTTGATTATAAATAAAACATGCTTAATTATTTAATTAAGATATCAACTAAAATTTATTTTGAATATTATTAAAAAATATAAAAATATAATGAACAGATAATTTTCTTAAAACAAAGAAAATGTAATCTCAAACAAATCCTTAAGTTCTAAGCTAAATTATATATGAAATTCAAATAAAATCTTTTTAAAATGTGCATTAATTAAATAGAAGGTTTACAAACATACCATAATTACTATGTAATTACATATATTAAAATTTAAATCTTGCTTTTTTACATTTATATCATTTTATTTACGTTTGAAATTTGTAATTCATTGTTTAAAAGCTACTAATTGAGATATGTTTGATGTGATATGAAAGATTTAGTATTATTGTTGGGTAATGTGGTATTATTGTTGGGTAATGTCTTTCGTTCGAACTTTGTAGTATTATTGTTTGATGTGATATGTGATATTACCAGTCAATCAAAATTTAATTAGCTTACATTTCTACCTACCACATCCCACATACCGCTCACCTACCTTCCCACCTATCACATTCCAACTACCGCTCTCTTGGTTTCTAAAAATAGTCTCTTATGGCTTGTCATAAACAATCCAAGTCAAGTTCTCTAAGAGAGAAAGAGATGAAGAAAGAGAGAGAAAAAATGAGAAAATAAAATAGAGATTTTCTTTTAAATGTCGAGGTGTTCGACTATGTAATTCCTCAAATAAATAAAATTTTATGCAGCTCCATGGACGTAGATAAATTTGTCGAACCACGTAAATTTGTGTGTCGCTCTAAAGTTTTTTCTGCGTGCAATTTTTCTCGTTTCATTTTTCGCTTTATTGTCGTCGTTTTTTTCACAACAGTTATAAATGTAAAAATTAAAATGTAGGTATTATATCAAAACACACACACACACACACACAATTATATCAACACACACATGCGCACACACGCACACAATAATTGTGTGCTATATTCTCAATTGTTTGTTGGTGACATCCAAAAGAATTAATTCAACCTGCCCATAGGTTGCTAAAGAGTTCACATTATAATTCATGACAAAAATAAATATAAAAAAAAAAGTAGGTTTTACTAATATCCTAATTTATCCCACTTAATTGGGGCATGGTTGCTCATAGTACATAAACAAATAACATTAGCATGATTGGTTTATTAAAAGTAAAAAAAAAACTACTAAACATTCAGTAGTAATAGTAATTTGATCCTCTTTGCTCCATTGAAAGATTAGTGTCACCCAATTTGAGTCCGTTAAAATATTAATTAGATACTCGATTCCGCTAGCTTTTAAAAGAATGCCGCTTGGCATATATCATAACCCTCATTCAATTCCACAAAGAAACATGCGCAAATATTGATGTATTCCATCATGAAAACAGTGATGAGATAACATCAACGACTACTAAAAAAACACTATCATTACGTGGAGGCCCTTCAATAAGACAACTTCATTTTATTCTTTTGATGAACAAAATATGCTTGTTCTTAATATTTAAAAAACAAAATAATATATTAGGTATATAGTTAGATAGATAGATAGATAGAAAAGCTGGCTAGAAAGAACAGAAAACGAAAGACGTGTCGGGCATTTGTCCCCTTCAGAAGCGTCAACATTATCTTTTGAAGCTAAATGATCTGAATTTGAACCGAGTTTTGAATAAAGACAATGAAGTTTTTGCTTAAAATATATCAAAATAAATTAAATAATCATCATATACAAATAAAATATTCCAAAAAAAACTATAAATGAACGACATGAATGAACAGATAAGATCAAATCAGGAGCGAAGGAAGAATGAGCAGCCAGAACGAAATGAAGATAATTCTAGTTCATGGCGCCGGCCATGGTGCCTGGTGTTGGTATAAGGTGGTGGCCATGCTGAGGTCTCAGGGATACTCAGTCACAGCCGTTGATCTTGCAGCCTGCGGCTCTGATCCACGAAGAATTCCTGAAGACGTATCTAACTTTGATGAGTATAGCCAGCCTCTGATGGATTTGATGGCTTCGGTGGGTGAAGGAGAAAAGGTAGTATTAGTTGGGCATAGCTTTGGTGGATTTAGCTTAGCTGCAGCAATGGATGCCTTTCCTGATAAGATTGCAGTTGCTGTTTTTGTCGCTGCATTCTTGCCAGATACTGTTCATTCACCTACTTATATCCTTGAACAGGTATATATCACAACTAAACCCGCATCAATTCTATATTTTTTTTTTGAAGATTTACGTACAGACACACCTTAATTTCTATATATTTACAAATTTAACACTTAAAAGTTCAATTTTTACATGTGTGATATATGCCACTTGATCTATATGTGAATAGGTGTATTTCACTCCTTAAAAAGTTAAAATAATGATACTTTTTATATGACATGAAAATTTTGAGTGGTGTAAATGTAAAAAGTGGAGTTTAGATGTTAGATATGTAACTATATATAAGAATTAGCTGGTAGTTATGCAAATATATAGGAATTAGGCGATATGTAAATATATAGGAATTAGGCTGTATGTAAATGGAAAAAATACTTATTTGCTCAGGTATTAACTGTCATTAAAATAACAATTACCTATGCATGATCAAAGTGTATTTCACTTTTTAAAGTTAATTGAAATGATGATATTTTTTGTATTATATAAATGATTTGGCTGGCATAAATGTCAAAATTAGCATAGGGGTTGGATGTATAAATAAAAAATTGATTGAGAATATATTGGAATAAGTTTATTATTATTATTATTATTATTATGCTTAATATATTTTAATTGTTCATTGAAGCAGCATTTTGAGCAATTACCAGATAAATACAATGATGTTGAAGTGAAGGCCGCTGTAGTTCCTGGAAAATCTGAGCCATTTATTATTTCAAGGCCACATTCTAAAGTTCTGGCCACCACATTTTACCAAAATTGCTCCTTTGAGGTAGTGTAAATCAGCTGATTTCATTCATTAAAATTAGGGATGTAAACGAGCCGAACACGAGCGAGCCATGCTCAACTCGTGTTCGGCTCATTTATACTTCGAGCTCAAAAATTATGTTCGTGTTCGGCTCGTTTGCTTAACGAGTCGAACACGAGCTGTTCACGAACAAAGAGTCATTTTAACAACCCTAATAATGTAGCCATACGGTAATAAGGGTTTGAGCAAGATTTAAAAATTATTATTTATATTAAAACATCATTTGAATCTAATTTAATAATTTTTATTCTATTTTCTTAATCAATATTTTAATTGATTATAAGTATTTGTAGCATTGTAGTCAATTAGATTTGTTTAAAATGCTACTTATATATAAACTTGATGAGTAGTATTTCGAGCCAAAACGAGCCGAACACGAATGAACACATCTTAGTTCATATTCGGCTCGTTAACTTATCGAACGAAATTAACGAGCCGAACACGAGTTTCTTAACGAGCCGAACACGAGTTGTTCGCGAACAACGAGCCGTTTTGACAGCCCTAATTAAAATATTTGATTTTACGGAAAATCAAGTTTTGTTGGGATTATGCAATTTATAAATTGTTTTCTTAGCGTTTACACTGTCAATTATCATTTTTAATATTTCGTTTTTCAACTATTTAGGATTTACTCAATTACATGTAAAATAGGATACCAAATGTTAGAACTACTACGCTTATCTGAATTATTGCTACTGTTTTAATTAGACTCTGATAACAAGTATAATATATGTTAAACTAAATCTAAGAAGCACTCAAGCTATCCTATAGCTGAAAAAAAACATTCCTTTGCATACTTTAGAAAAATTTAT